ATGAGCTCATCCTTGCTGAATAAAAGTTTTAATTTCTTTTGATGAGCATCTTTGATGAGCTACGAAACTCCTTTATAAAACAGTACAAATCGTTCTGATCCCAAACTTTTGAATGGTAGTGTGTGTATACAGTATATATATATATATATATATATATATATATATATATATATATATATGTGCCTTGAGCAGGGGAACCCTCCCTCGAGGAGCATGTGGAGGAATTTCTCTCGCCCATCAGACCACCTTCCTGGATGACTGCCTGTGCTCGTTCCTGCACACTGGTCTGAACACCGCCACACAAGCACAGCTGACCAGGGAGGGTCATCGAGGGAGCTTCACCACTTATGTGGAATGGGTGCTGAGCTCTTGAGGATCTGCCTTCACCATCTGCCTTGTGGATGATGACACCAGCCCCACTCCCAACTCAGTGTCCAGCCATTCTCATGGAATTCAAGGGTATGGATGCTGAGAGTGAGTGAGTGTTGGACATGGACATTATTTTTCAGTTTGGACAGTTAGAGACTTTACTTCCCCTAAGCCTGCCAGATTCTGTTCATCTGTCTGACTCACTGGTCCTGCCCAGCCTCTCCTCTCCTCTCCTCTCCTCTCCATTTCTTCAGTCTCCTCAGCCCTCAGCCATTCCTGCTGTCCAGTCAACTCTGTCCCCTGTCAGTTCCTCTATTTCACCTCCTCTCAGTGGTGGGGTTTCATCTCGGGCATGCTGGAAGTCTTCATTTCCTGGACCTGAGGAGTCTGTGGCTCCGCCTCCAGCCTTGGATGGCTCTGTTCCACCTCGTCCCGCCGTCCTGACACTTGCGCCTGTGCTCCTCCCACCCTCGTTTCGGGCATGAACCATCGGCCATTCGGCCTCGCTGGGCTCCCTCTGTCAGGCAGCTCCCCCTGGGTTGGACTTCACCACGCCTCTGCTGCAGACTTGCGGACCGTCCGCTACACTCCGGCCCTCCACCCCTTCAGCTCCACCCTCCCTTCGGCTCCGCCTCTGGCCACTAGATTCCCACCTACATCTCGGGCAATCATTGCTACGGCTCTGTCACGGCGTTGCTCCGCCTCCTCGGCTCTCTGTCTGCGCGGTGGGCTCCACCTCCATCGCCATTATCGTCTTCGGTCGTCCCCAAGGTGGCGTGTGTTCCCATCATGATTTGGCTCCTCCCTCTAGCGCCGTCACAATGGAGCACAGTCCTGGCTATGGCCTGGGTCTCCGCCTGCCTTGTCCTGCTCAAGACTCCACCCTGAACTTCATCACCATCACCTCCCTGGTCATCTCCTCCACCTGCACCTCCCTGGATTTTGTTTGTTGTCCTCCTGATTATTCTGCCTACTTGAGCCATCCCTTCAACTATTTGCCATCCCTTCGCCACCACCTGCTCATTCTTCCATCTGTCTACGAGAGGTCGTGCCTCCCAGGAGGAGGCGTACTGTCGCGGTTTCAATTCAGTTTGTACTTTGTTTTCTGTTTGCACCGTTTCCACTGAGTTGGTTGTTATGGTTTCTGATTAGTTGTCATTCAATTCAGGTGTATTAATTATCCTTGTTTGCTCATGTATTTAAGTTGCTTTGTTTCTTTTCATTGTTGTTGGGTCTCGTCAATATTGGATGTGTTGTTGCGGTTCCATTATGTGGATTATTTGCCTGTGGATTTATTAAAGAATACCTTATCCCTTCATCTGTCTGTCTGTCTATCTATCTATCTATCTATGGACCCTATCAAGTTATTTGTACTATCCCCATCAGCCCACAATGTAAAAAAATACCATAATTTTAATGGCAAAAGACTGTAAATGATACAGTAAATACATGTTTATTGGTTAATGATAAGGACCCTTACTATATAAGGTGAAAATTTGTATTATATTTAAGGGGACATTCATGTAATTTTACAGTAAAATACTGCACAAATTTACAGTTTTTGGAAGTGAAAATAAAGTAAAAAAATTGGCAGTCCCAGAATTCTATGTGTGACACTTCACATTCTATTTTTTCATTGAAATAACTGCTTGTTCTTAGTTTTTTTCTCATCAATCATGTACAATAGGGTCACTATTCATCTGTTTACTAGTATTTACCTCAGATTTTGGAAAAGCTACTTATGAATAACTTTAATTCTTCATGTGTCTCACTACACCACCTGTGTTTTTAAGGTGGTTGTCAGTGTAATATAAAGGCACCAAACAGATTTCAGTACTCCAGTAAGTTGGTATATTAACATTAGTGATGGGAAGTCAGATTCTTTTCCGTGAACTGGTTCTTTTGGACAGTTCGTTTCAATCAACTGGTTCAAATAACAGATTCACTAGTTTGTGTTTGCAAACATGCAATGATGTCACTGTGACGGATCGCCGGCCTCCTGCCTAATTATCATCAACCCTTCCATTAAACGCTGCCCTTCACCAGGTTCCCGACAGGAGTGGGTGTGTGAGAGATGAGGGGCGCAGAAACAGCCAGGTCTGGCGGCATGTGATAAGGCACACCGGAAGTGAATGGAGCCTCGTCACCACCGCTGTTAAATGCCGAGCACGCCTCTCGGGGGAGACCGGTCTCTTCCCCCGTGCATGCACGCTGGTGTCCTCATGGGTCCAGGAAGGGAGCGCAGAGGGATTCCTGCACCGCCAGAGATGCAAGCTGCCGGACCTGCGGCATGGAATGGAGACACACCTGTGACGCTGCCGATGGGCCTGGATGCCGGGCTGTTAATCACCTGAAGTGCTGTGGGCCAGGAAAGATGAGCCGCTGTGAAGAAGCGGTCGCCCCTCGCACCCCGGACCACAGAGAGGAGTGCATGCGACTGCCGGACTCCGCCCCTAACCTGGACCCCTCCTTTCTGAACACTGCCCTCCTTCACAATTCCCCAGCACAACGAGGATACCAGATCCCCTGTTTATTTTGGACACTCCTTCCCCTTTGAACACTTTACTCCCTGTCTTGGACTTTTTATGTTTATTTTCTGTTAAATAAAAGCCTCTCCGAGGCCTGACGCCACACCCACTGTGTCTGTCGTATGCTCCTCCCACCACAGTCATGTATACAGTAAGTAATTATATTATTTCAGCATCCACTAACGATTTAAATCCCTGATATTTTACATGTCTAAAGCAGTGTTTCCCAACCTTTTTTTAAGTCGCGGCACCCTTTGGAAATTTTAACAAACTTGTGGTACCCTACAAAATTAATTTTGTCACAATATTTGAATTTCTAACTTCGATATGATAATTTGAAAAGTATAGATATTCGGTACAACAGGGAAGAACTGCAGAATATAATGTCATACAGATATTTTTTATATTAAAAAAAACTTTTGTCCATCAATGGTGCCAATCAGTAGGCTAATTTCTAATGAAGAGACCAATTTATATGACAGATTTTAATGTAGGCTTTTATACATATGTAAACATTATTTAATTACCATTATAACTAGCTATCTCACAAATTTTTGCTCACTCAGTGTTTTTTTAATTTTACAGTGGGGTAATTTTGGTGCAGTAGCCACTACCAGGTTACGTAAGCGTCTCAGTTTGGGGTTGTAGTTCTCCATGCGGTTGTGGATCTGTGAGTGTCGCCGCAAATGTGCCTGTCAAAGGCAGGATAGAGACGCTGAGATCTTAGACATAAAGTAGGAAATTATTTTTCTGATATGTTAAGCCATAAATACATCTAATTCATACCTGTCTGGTGAACTTGTAACCACATTCAGTACACTCAAATTTTCTCATGCCTTTGTGACGTCGTACATGAACACGGAGCTGCTCAATGGCTGATGGGGTATTATGGGATATTTAATTATTATTATTTAATAAATACATGTTTTTTATGTAGTATACATTATACAAGAGGGGTGTGTGTGTGTGTATCAATTTAGATATTAGAAGATATCTAGATATTTAGAAAAAATATTAAACTATATATATAAGCAATAAAAATATAAACTATATATAAGCAATCATTATATATTATACAGCAGTGTTTCCCAACCTTTTTTAGTCGCAGCACCCTTTGGAAATTTTAACAAACTTGTGGTACCCTACAAAATTAATTTTGTCACAATATTTGAATTTCTAACTTCGATATGATAATTTGAAAAGTATAGATATTCGGTACAACAGGGAAGAACTGCAGAATATAATGTCATACAGATATTTTTTATATTAAAATGTTTTGCCCATCAATGGTGGCAATAAGTAGGCTAATTTCTATTGAAGAGACCAATTTATATGACAGATTTTAATGTAGGCTTTTATACATATGTAAACATTATTTAATTACCTCGGTGCATCTCTAATTATTGGCGACATCAGAAATGGATATTATATAATAGATGCTTTTTTGAACATTTTAGCAATTTAAAAATATAAAAAAAAATTTTTTTTACGCGGCATCCCGGTTGGGAAACACTGGTCTAAAGCATATAAAGAGGTAGTCTTAAGCATATAAACTAGTCTTAATCAACTTACCTTTTTACATAAACCATGTGAAACTCTTGACTCATGACTTTAAGGAGAGACCCATTATTAGTCTACTACGGTTGACTTAAAACTACTGCCATTGTATCACTGTTATATTTACAATACATTTTATTTGTTATACTTTATGCTTTTCAGCAAAAGACAAAGCTCTCAGCATGTCGGACATTTCCGAATAATACTGCTCTCAGCGTACTGTTGGACTAACTGCAACACTAAATGAGTTGGGAAAAAACAACAACGTATGATCAAATACACCAGTATATTGGCTCATTTGACTTGGATTGACTGCTGGCCACATCCAAAAGTGAGTTTTGAGTATCTTGTAGATCTATTTCAGATGACTCAGTCCGATTTGGTGAGACATCACTAATGAACATTAAATCAGTGAATAAAAGCTATAGTTTAAATTTAAGTTAAATCCATGAAACATAAAATGTTGCTACCACAGCTTTTACTGTAAAGATCTGGCAACCACAGCTGATGTTTTTTTTTTTTTATGGGCATGTGCATCAAACTCACTTTAAACGCCTCCTTTGCAACATTGTCATCAGCATCTCCGCGTGCCCATGGTTTGGCAGGGTGGCTCTGCAGACTGTATCCAAACAGATCAATGAAGAAGAAGGCGTACTCCTCCTGAGGAAGACCCAACCTCAAGAACTCCACCATCAGCTTGCGAAACGTCTCCCACTTGCAGCAGACATACACCACTGCAAACACAAGATAGGGAAACTCAAAAAAAAATCAGACTTAATGAGAATTCAGACCCGCTTATTACTACAATGGAATGTGCTTGTGTGGCAAATGAGCTTTGGTTTATACTGCAAATGCAAAAGCAACTGAAAGTCTGACACTTTAATTTGCAATTAGGCTGGAGGTTATTAACAGCTGACGAGGTGAAACCCACTCTAAAGATTCGAAATGGAAGTGTAGCACATGAGGATACTGTGTTTCCCAAGTTTTACAACGTGGGATTTTCTGCTCTTAATTTGCGAATTAATTCAGAAGTAAATTGATTAGTTAATTTTAATTGGTTAAGAATGCTAAAATGTTAGCATTCTTGAGTTTGTATGCAATTTGTTGATGAGGAAAAGAAACAAACTTTTCTGGAAAAACAGATAAAATGTACTCATTTAGGCAATGGCTGCATAAGAATTACATAACCTCAGAGTTGATAGTTAAATGTGTATATTAATGATATCCTATCATGCATGTACAGGAATGCTGTGGGATCTTCTGAACTCCCTTATTAGCTTTGACTCCACTATATTGCATAAAGAGGAAATATTTGGCCACATGTCAAAAATTATTCAATTAAATTGTTAAACTTCTTCTCAGAATAATTGCAATCTATAATAATAAGTTTAATAGTTTAACAATAGTAATAATAGTTTATAATGTTTTCAAACGTTTTCATTTATCAATTAAATTCACATTTAACAAATTAATTTGTTATTATATATTATTTTATAGTGTTATCAAGATGCAGTGTCTAAAAGGACACAAAATGCAATGTTTATGCACTATTTACTCATGGTTGGGAGCAAGTGCACATTTTGCACCACGTATCATTTAAAAAATTATATTTTCATAATCTTCATATTTACAATTTACTCAAGGATTTGTTTTGTTCTAGTTTTACTGAGTGAGGTCCTTAATGAAGCTTTTGTTCTTTGTCAGCAAGTGAAAAACAAATAAGACATGAAATAGCCCAACACTTTCATTTTTTTAACCAAAATCAAAACATCATGTTATAATTACAACTTCTAGGAGGACTTGCAGGCAGTAAGTTTAAGGGATGGAATGAACAACATTCATATCAGCCGATCATTTCCCTGTGATTCAGCAACAGGCTATGGGCTATTATTGTGACAAAATAGTTTCGGGACCAACAAAAGATGTTGTTTCAAGAACATGTACTTGGGTAAATCATATTGTGCAATGAGCATCTGCCATGCTAATTTTACCAAGAACTACATGTTCCAAGGTTTATTGCGTCAAAGTGGGATTTTTTTTTTTTACAGTTAATAATATGTGGGTTTTTTCTGAAGGCAAGAGGTCTCTATAAGTACATGAGTATTGTTTGAAAACAAAAAGAGGGCGACAAGACACAATTTTCTTTAAAAGCTTACTTGTGGTTCTGCAGCATTGGTGTCACTAAAGCGAAGTGCAATAATTGTTTTCAAGTTTCTCGAACACTTCCATCTGCCATTGGCCACACAAACAAATTCTTCTAGAATTTTGTTTGCAATACTCGGACAAACAAAGCAGTGTTTTAATAGTGCCAGAAAGCCTTAAGGCCTGTACAATACTGTGCATTGGTGTGGACACTAATATAATTATGCTTTTAGTCAAGGTGCGATTTGTGAAAAAAACAGAGCAGGGGATGTTTTGAAAAATGTATGAATGAAAGAATGCCCCCCCCCCCATGTACATATTCAATCGTGTTTGCATCCATTTATTTTTGATCAGTGCTTCGCTACACGACATACAAACTTTAACTACAAAAGTGCGCACATTATTTATTCACACGTTTACATATCACTCATATTTCTTTAAATAGAATAGAATCATGGTTTCCTAATGACTCGCAGAAAGACGATTCTCTGTCGACCCATCACTCAAACCCCCCCATCCCCCCCTACAAATCTCACCCTGGTTATAGTTATCTTTATAATGGGTCTTTACAGTTGTCTCTGTATATTATTCTGAGATAAACGTATTTTGACATTGAAGTTAACATTGAATTGTTGCTGCTTTTATTCACATTTCCACAGAATATTTGAGGTTAATGCAGTACAGGAGGCATTGGATGGCAGGTAATATTTGACTCTGTATGTAATTGCCATTGAAGTGCAGCATATGTCATGCATCTGAAGCAGTGCAGACTGGGAGTCATGTGCTTCACGCTTCTAAATGCCAAAGAGGACTCAGATCGCCATGGCAATTACCCACAGACCTGCTCCTAATGATGGGCTTAATGAAGAAGTGAGGTGAGGTGTTAATTACAACAGTACCTTTAAAAAAATCATATGAGAGAAAAGGCTCACATGTTTGGAATGGAATATTACTGCACTGGGTAATGTGCATCTGTGAATCATGTTTCTAGATAGATAGATAGATAGATAGATAGATAGATAGATAGATAGATAGATAGATAGAATGGCAGACATGATAGAGTGATAGAATTAAAGACAGACATAATCACAGAATGACATATAGAATAACAGACAGAACAATAGATAGACAGACAGACAGACTGAACAATAGGTAGACAGAACGACAGACAGACAAAATGACAGACAGAACAATAGGTAGACAGGTAAACAGCATACAGACAGACAGACAGACAGAACGACAAACAGACAGGATGACAGAACGACAGACAGAACTAAAGACAGACAGACAGAACAATAGCTAGACAGACATAAAGACAGACAGACAAACAGAACGACAGATGAATAGACAGAACAATAGACAGACAGACAGAAAGACAGACAGAAAGACAGACAGCAGACAGACAGCATGACAGACAGTCAGAACAATAGCTAGACAGACAGACAGACAGACCAACAGACAGAACAATAGACAGACAGACCAACAGAACAATAGGTAGACAGACAGACAGACAGACAGACAGACAAATGACAGACAGAACAATAGACAGACAGACAGA